TGTGCCAGGCATTGAGCCTGTCAACTTGCTAAGGCTAAAATGGTAAATATGATACCACCCTGCTCTCAGAGAATTTTACAGTCTAGTCAGTTATCTCAAACTCAAATCTTTGTGCCTCCAAATTTCTCTGTCACTGTCAATGGCACCACCAAATGTCTCAATCAGCTACACTCAAAATTTGAAAGGTATCTTTGACTCAGTGCTCACTTTAATTCTCTGTATCAAGCCAATGATTTTGGTAATTATTCCCTCAAATTATTTCTTTGGTCCATATATTCCTTTCTCATGACTATTATAATAGCTTTCCAGCTGAATTTTATGACTTTTACTCGTTTCTTCTTTCATTTCACCTTCATGCTCATTAAAAACTAATTGTTTATAAACATGACTTTCATCATGTCACTATTAAAAAACCTTTTAATAGTTTCCTTATTTTCTACCTCATCAAAAATATGCTCAATGAAATTCTAAATCCTCCAAGAATCAAATTCATCCCACCTTTAATTCCCATGCTACATTGCATCATGAATTTTAAGCCTAATTAAGCTTTGTCATTCTTAAAATGTGTAATATTCATTCTGACTTTGTAATTTCTATTACTATAGACTCCTTCCCATTGGAGTGTTCTCCCTGTTATTTTCTGTCACTTAAGTATGACACTTTGTAAAAGCTCAACCCAATTACCACCTCCTTAAGTAAATCTCTGACAGTTTAGGGTAGCAGTTTAAAGTGCAATTCCTAGGGCTTCTGGGTGGCTTAGTTGGTTAAGCATCCAACATCGGCTCAGGTCATGATCTCACGGTTTGTGAGTTCGAGCCCCACCATTGGTCCAGGCTGAGAGGTGGGTGTCACCCCAAAATCCACCCCCACACACACCCTTGTTCTTTGGAGTTTCCATTTCCAAATCTGGCCCTGACCTGAGTACCTTCTCTCAATCTCTTCCTCAACCCTATTCCCCATCTCAAAACATACTTATTCTCATTGAACTCTGGCCAGTTTCTAGTTCCATTCCAAATTCACATAACACTGAAGTTCATTAATCTCCATCCCTCTTTATACCATGTGTCCTGTTTTATTCATCTCCAGTGAGTGTACTAATTCCTTAGGTATCTCTATCATTATCTATGCATAATTCAAGTACTTCTCACCAGAGGAGTTATTATATGCCCATAATTCATTAATGAAACCAGTCATGATGCAATGTTGGATGGCCAGGATTTCTTCATGAAAACTATGGTTAGATGCCTAATTAACAGCAACATGAGAAGTTTATATTTAATGATACATTTCAAGTATTACAAATTATTCTCCCTTATATACTCTTTGGTTTATGATAAACAGGGATTTAATCATTAGTATAAAATTTCCAAAAATGTATTCTAAACAGCTAAAATTTATGAAATATATTTAGATAAAGATTTTAAAGGGGATGATTTATTCTGAGTTCTACATAAATAACCATACAGTTATTTTACACCATGTAAGAAAATGATTTTAAATCTGTTTCAGTAGGGATTGTAGGGATTGATTACAGATTAATATGCATACTTTTTTCTAGCTAGTATAAATATAGGTTATCATTTCTGCTGAGCCATGGTTTTTCCCATTGTTAAAATGAGGGATTTAAATGCTATTTAACAGTTTTCTGTAATGCTCATGATAATATGATATGACCACAATTATAGAATGACATTTAACTATTAAAAGGTTGCTAGGTAAATTAATATTTGCATACAATGTGATTTTCTAGGTAGAATATTGAAGTTAGTTAAGGATTAATTAGCTAATCTAATAAAAGCTTTCAAAGTGACTTGATTTGAAAAGTAAATATAGCAAACAATAACTTTATCAGTATTAGCCAGTTGTAAATAATAAAATCTTTTCACAAAAGCAAAATGAATTAAATGTAAGTAGTAATAGCCTTAAGAAATGTGCAATACCCACATAAAGAAAGCTATACACATTTTAAAGAGAAAAAAAATACTACAAAGATATACAGAAAAATATTACAAAAGAAAAGCTAAATGGATGATTTTTTTAAATTTTTTTTAATGTTTATTATTTATTTTTGAGAGAGAGAGAGACAGCCTGAGTGGGAGAGGGGCAGAGAGAAAGGGAGACATAGAATCTGAAACAGGCTCCAGGCTCTGAGTTGTCAGAACCCGATGCGAAGCTTGAATTCACAAACCATGAGATGGTGACCTGAGCTGAATTCAGACGCTTAACCGACAGAGTCACCCAGGCACCCCTCAATGGATGATTTTATATGTGAAAACTGATAACACCCAATTATTTAATAAATGGAATATTTTTTAAATGTGAAAATTCATATTAGATTTGACGGTGAGGAAGGGGAGAAGTAGAGAAGAGAAAGAAGAGAATGGGCAGAAAACAATAAAAAAATAATGAAAATGAGAGAAAAAAACAGAAAATTAGTAGATTTTAATGCTCAAATATTCCTATAGGTATAAACTTCAGAATGTTTTCAGCTTGTGGCTCTTCAAATGCTTTTTATCTATAGTTTCTCAGAGGCTTCAGTTTAGTTATGTTACCCAAATAATTATAGTAAAAAATACATGTTTTTTACAAAGCAGGTATGGTAACAACTAGAATAATACTACCTGGAAAGTTAAGTTCAAGTTCCAAATTTTATTTTCATCATTGGATTTTTCCACCTCTAATTTAATACCTCAAAACATTAACTTAATAAAATTGGGCCCTTTTAGTGGACTGAAGGAGTGGGTGAAAGTTTCAAAGATCAGCAATTTATGGAATTATGGTAACATCACAATTCAATATTTTGCACTCAAGATCAAATATTTCACATATCAGAAAGTAGGGAATAAATAGCAGTACAGTGAAAAGAATATTCAACTGGGAAACCAGATTCCAGTTCCAGAATTAGTCACATGCTGACCTTGTATGTTATTTATCCTTGTCTGGGCCTCTGTTTCTGTTTCTGCCAAAAGAAAGTTTGGACTACCTCATCCCATGTCTTTTTCTATTCTAAAATAATTATATCTCCATGATTTTAATCACGTGACCTATAACAAACCTAAGACTATTTATAGTAGGGTCACACAAAGCTCTGATCATCAAAAATATATCTTGTTAAAGATCCTCAGTGTGACTGTGGAAATGATTATGTTAAATGCTGGGAGCCAGGAGATAAGTATTAATTAAACAAGCAAAAAATATATATATCACCCAGAGCACTAGAATTATACATTTTAAAGCTTCTGATCTGCACAGCTTCTGATCTGCATATGTATAATCACTATGTTAAATATGTCATGGACTGAGTCACTGAATGAAAAAAGAAGAGATACCATTTTTTTGTGGGCTTATATATTTTTAAAATCTAGCTTCAAGGCTAATGAATTAGCACCCTACCATTACATAAATCTGTTATGGCTGGCTTCTCCCTTGCAAAAAATTAAATCAGTGGTACTCAGACATTTTGGTCTCAGGACCACCCCATACCCTTAAAAATTACTGAGGACCTTAAGCACTATGGTTTATGTGGACTATCTATCAATATTTAATGTATTCTATATTAAAACTAAGAAACTTGAGACGTTGTTTAAAATAAAAATAATAAGCCATTTAAATGACATTTTTATTTTTAAAAAAGCTATTTTCAAAAAAAATGTGAATTTTTTTATGTTTATTTGCTTGTAAGCTCACTGTATTGCCATGTGTTGTTCTGATTGAAGTATTTTAGGAAAATTCTATCTCACACAGATGTAATTAGAAAGAAGGAACATTTTGATAGCCTTTTGAATAATTGTGGATATCCTGATTTTATGCTAAAACTTGAAAAATGGTCGCTTCTTAGAGATTAATTGTTGCCGTGTAGAATCTGAGACCACATCAATGAAATTTTTGTACTTTGTTATGTTAAAATCCATCAGTCTCTGTCACACTTGAGTGGATCTCTTAATGTGTATGATTTTGTAATAGCTTGCTATTTATAAAGTTCTGATTCACTTAATTCACATAATCATGCACATCTCTCAAGCGTTGACACATTTCATTATGTAATATCAAAAAAGCCATATTTCTTAATATAATGCCAACCTCATTATAAAAAGTAAGTATATTGGAAAGCTGTAAAATTTAGAGGATTATACAAGTTTTTTAAAATTCTAATTAACACTTGTGAGTCTGAATTTTATCACAAACAACAAATTAGTGTTTTCTTTGAAGTGGCAGGCTTACTTTATTAATTTCACCTGCCAAAAAACTAAGTCTAAGTAACCCTAATTTGTCATCAGTCACTCTTTAAAGTAAAAATGGTACAATATGTTAAATAGTAGCTTTTTCAGTTTTTTTCAAATATCTAAGAACTCTCCTCAAGATAACTGCACTTCAGTATTGCACCGGAAGTGTTTATGCATGGTTTTCATTTTGTCATCCAGCATATTAATAAAGCTCTGTACCCAATGGTCAAGACTTAATAAAATTAATACTTTTTATTGCTTCATCAATAACATTCTTAAGTGAAAATGGAATTCTTTTTTTCTGGAATTCTTGAAAGCAAAAATATGATGGCAGTTTGGTGCCATTGTCTTGATTCACACTAAGATGCCAGCAGTTTTAAACGCCATTGCTTTTGCTTCAATCAGTACAAATGTCAACACAGCAAAACTACTAGTAGTACTTTAATTTTGATATTAGCAGTCCATGAGAGTTTCAGGAATTCCCAGGAGTCTTCAGTACATACTGAATTAAAGTTTTCAAACAAAATAAATGCCATTTTAAACCTCCCAAGATATTTTTAAACGACTATAAGTATATTTTTACACAATAAATTGAAATGCCTAATCATTCAAGTTTCAAGTAGAGAGAATAAAATTTGAACAAGATAGATTTAAAATATAAGCATAAGGAGTAAATTTAAAAAAAAGCATGTCATAGGAAACTATAATAGGGCATAAGGAAGAAAGCAAATGGATTTTTACATATGTGTTTAATCCTTTTAACCATTGCTTCCATACCTTGTAGTTTATAGTCTGAACTGGTTTCATCATCAGAGAGTTTCTACTTCTTTGGCTGGCAGCTGTTGGAAATGGTCCTAGGATACAATCTAAATCTTTTCTCTGACATCCGAAATATATTAAAGACAATGCAGAGTTAACCTCCTTCTCCCAGGACTTAACCCTTTAAATCTGAGTCAGACATGGGCCCAATTTCAAAAGGGTTCTTGCCAATTTGAAGCTAATCACATGCCATCTTCCTTCAGCCAATCATAGGGCCATGCTAAAAACAACAGCTGGTTAATTGAGACATCATTCTAACACATCTATATAATCACCACTATCATTAACGCTGACTCTGTACCAGAGACTTCTGAGGACAGCACACCATCCTATCAAGACTTATAGCTTCCAACATGTAGCAAGAAAAAATTATGCTCACTCTATATAAGAGTTATGCAGTTTGACCTAAGCCTCACAGTAAGTCAGAAGTGAAAATACTGATGAAATAACTTGGATATGGGATCTTTATTTCAAGGAATACATTTCTTATTCATATTCCCTTTTTGCTGCCAAAGCAAATGAATAGGAAATATTCTCTACAGTAATAATTTTTAGAGTGTTCTTTGCTAGTATATAAAATGGTTTTGTGACTATTAAATATCTGCCAACAAAACATTACAGTATGAAACTAACATTTATTTGGCTCCTACTACTATAAGGCATGCTTTTAGGCACTAAAGATTTGAGTGGTTTGGCAGACATTATTATTACATAAATTAAATTACAGTACTTTTAGTGTTTGATTGAAACATCTAATTCGAAAGGTTATTGAACAATTACCCAAGAAAATAATTTGTAGATACCTTTTGGCTTTAAATTATTGCTAATTAATAATGAAAATGTGTGGGGCGCCTGGGTGGCGCAGTCGGTTAAGCGTCCGACTTCAGCCAGGTCACGATCTCGCGGTCCGGGAGTTCGAGCCCCGCATCAGGCTTTGGGCTGATGGCTCAGAGCCTGGAGCCTGTTTCCGATTCTGTGTCTCCCTCTCTCTCTGCCCCTCCCCCGTTCATGCTCTGTCTCTCTCTGTCCCAAAAATAAATAAAAAAAAGTTGAAAAAAAAATTTAAAAAAAAATAATGAAAATGTGTTCAAACTACCACACGCCATGCTCTTAGTGCACCTGTGACAGTAGTAGATTGTATCTAATACTTGAAACATGAATCAGCTAAGAGTTAGATGACTACTCAACAACAGCTAATTACAGGGCAATGACTGAGAAACTTCTTGCAAAATCCTCCATTCTGTTCAACCGGTAAATCTTGCACGTCCTCAGGGCTCAGCCTTCAAATATCTTCTCTATCACATTTACTCTCTGACTTTTATGGTCTTTTTTTTGTTTCAAATATACTCTCTGTTTGTTCATGATTCCCAAACTTATATTTCCAGTTCTGATACATTCTCTGAACCCCAAACTTGCATATCTAAATCTCTGCTGAACATACTCACTTGTATTTCATGAAGGCATCTTATACGTAACATGTCCCAACCTTAACAGTTAGTTCTCCCTAAACCTCCTGACTGCTTCTTCCCACTCAATCTCAATCTCAGTAAATTGCACCATTACTCACCCAGTTGGTTGTGACAAAACCTTGAAGTGATCCTAGACTGCTCTCCACATCCAATCCGTTAGAAAATCCTAGAGTTTCAACCTTCAAACTATATATTCAGATCTGACTGCTTGTCATCATCTTCACCAATACCACCCTAATCAATAACTTCATCATCAGTCATCTGAAATACTGTATGACCTCCTAACTGGCATCACTGCTTCCATAATTGGCTCTATCTAATCTATCCTGTATACAACAATTAGAGTGATCTCATTGAAATATTAGATTATATTGCTCAAATGCCTTTTCAGCACAGTTAGAATACTACTGTTTTATCTTAGCATACAAAGCCATATATAATCTTGCCCTACTAATTCTCTATTCTTTCTAACTTCATTTTCACTCAGTTCCAGCCATGTTGTCCTCCGAGTTTGTAATTTCTTTTTATTTTTTTTTTATTTTTTTTTTAGCATTTATTTATTATTGAGAGAGAGAGAGAGAGAGAGAGAGAGCATGAGCAGAGGAGGCGCAGAGAGAGAGACACAGAATCTGAAGCAGGCTCCAGGCTCTGAGCTGTCAGCACAGAGCCCGATGCAGGGCTCGAACTCCCAACCGGTGAGATCATGACCTGAGCGGAAGTCGAACGCTTAACCACTGAGCCACCCAGGCGCCCCCCGGGTTTGTAATTTATGTTCTCTCTCTCCTTTGAAACTCTTCCTAGAGATACTTACAAGTCTTGATCCTTTATTTCTTTCACATCTCTGCTCAAATGTCACCTCATCAAAGGTAGTTCTCTGACCATGTTCTCTAAAATAGTGAATCCTGGGGTGCCTGGGTGGCCCAGTCGGTTGGGCGGCCGACTTCGGCTCAGGTCATGATCTCGCGGTCCGTGAGTTCGAGCCCCGCGTCAGGCTCTGTGCTGACAGCTCAGACCCTGGAGCCTGTTTCAGATTCTGTGTCTCCCTCTCTCTGACCCTCCCCCATTCATGCTCTGTCTCTCTCTCTATCTCAAAAATAAAGAAACGTTAAAAAAAAATTAAAAAAAATAAAATAGTGAATCCTTCACTCTCCATCCTCAACCTTTGCTTACTTGTTCGTCTTAGCATTTACAGCTTGTTATCTCTGTCTCTGTATACATATATATCATATATATATATATGTATATATATATACACATACCTATATGCGTATATTAATTCATCAATTTATTAGTAGATTGAAAACAGGGATTGTTGCCTCTTTAGTGCTTACAACAGTACTTGGCACATAGTTGTAAATATTATTGAAGTAACAAATTAATCAAGTACACATGCATAAGGACTTTGTACATAAACAGTATACATAATATCTATTTTTTATTTTTTATTTTTTAAATTAATTAATTTATTTTGAGAGATACAGAGACACTGTGAGAAGGGAAGGGGCAGAGAGAGAGGGAGAGAATGAAAGAATCCCAAGCAGGTTCTGCACTGTCAGCACAGAGACCAATGCAGTGGTCAAAGTCACCAAACTGTGAGATCATGACCTGAGCGGAAGCAGAAAGTCAGATGCTTAACCAACTGAGCCACCCAGGTGCCCCCATAATATCTAATTTTTGAGATATCTTCACTAGCTATACCTAATGGCCAATTCTTTAATAATAAAGTGCTAGAAATTAATGTTGGAACCACACTACATAATACATTATAAATTCCCTCTCTCTCTCTTCTCTCTCTCTCTCTCTCCACACACACACACACACACACACACACACACACACACACACACACACAGTAATAAACAAAGACTAACCAAATGAGAACAGGTAAAGCGTATTTATTCAGAGTTTCTGTAGGAAGGGAGTCAGTCAGTCATTGTCATTTGTGTCTGGCAGACTCAAAGATAGGCAGAGCAGAGGAAAACTGTAGAAGGGTTAAATAAAAGTAAGGCATCCTACTTGATTGGATAAAGGTGCATATTTAGCTTCCTGTGATTGGTCCTAAGTTGGAAGCAGAGGAAAATATTAAGGAAGTTGTCAGCTATTAATTAAATTACTAATCAAATTCTAGTCATCTGGGACCGATTTCTTGTTGAGCCTCTTGGATTGATTGTCACAGATAGTGAGTTGGTTTTCTGGGCTGATTGCTGAAGGTAATGGGTCAGAGTTTTACATTTTTATATATAATCTGCCTATTGCCTATTTCTATATTCAGCCTATAACCAGGTAACTTTTAATAAGCTACATATAATTCATTATGTATTTTTAAAATATTTTATAATAACATTTTTAAATAGTCTCATTTAATATTTGCATCATGTTCTAAAAGTCTATAAAGAACACCTCTAAGTATTGCTGTTGATAAACATCTAGAACAAATAGGGTTCATTTAGCAATGGTAGTTAAAATGCTGGGCCCAAGAATTTCTTATTTAAAAATGGCAAAGGGGATTACCTAAAATACCTATAAAGGTAAAAATAAGATGAAAACATATTCCATAGGATCTCATAAGGATATTATAGACTGAGACAACATTATAAGAAATAATAGCCAAGAATTTCTAAGAACTAAAAACATAAATCTTAAGAATAGAGAACCTAACAATTTGAAAGTAGGATAAAGTGCTTTTAAAAGTTCTCATCTATAAAATATTTCAATAAAATTTAAGAATATCAATAACCAGGAAAAAAATGAAATCAAACATATAAAAATACAGCTTACTCTTTTACAAACACAGGATGCAAAAAGAAGAAAATAGAGCAATACGTTTAAAAATATAAGAAAATAATGGATAAGCTAGAACTCCATTTTTCAGATACATAATTATTTAAGGGGAGGAAGAAATTAAGATACTGTCATGCATTCACTACCTATCTCTCCAGTTCACTTCCTCTAGTAACCTGACTCCAACAATTCTTGGACCCCACTCGGACCTTCAGTCCACTGAACCCCTTTACATGGTCTTTCACCCAAATCAAATCTGATTTCTTTTGCTTATGCAGTTTAATTTATTTTTTTAAGTTTATTTATTTACTTAGAGAGAGAGAGAGAGAGAGAGAGAGAGAGAGAGAATCCCAAGCAGGCTCCACACTGCCAGTGCAGAGCCTGATGCAGGGCTTAAACTCATGAACCGTGAGGTCATGACCTGAGCAGAAATCTAGAGTCAGATGTTTAACCAACTGAGCTACCCAGGCACCCCTACTTACCCAGTTAGATTACATGGTCCTTCTCTATAAGCAATTTCCTGAATAAGCTTTCAACTCTCTTCTGTCTTTACATTTATGATGCTAACCTCAAGTAGCCCCCAAATGCTATTTAATAATCCTACCATACATCTCTATTCAATTCTTACATTCTCCTAGACAATTATTTCAGAACTTCTGTTCTTTTCAAATAATTCCTCCTCATTCTCACCCAACTGATGGTCTTATTACTTATTTCTTGAAGAAATAGGAGTCAAGTCCCACACTCATCTAGTGGCCTGCCTTCATCTGAATCCACACATTTTCTTTCTCTGACCCATGGATGCATGCATCAATCGTTCTTATCTGAGACTCTTCCTTTTAGGCCCTAATGCTGGCCTCCACTACTCTATTAAGATGTCATTCTAGCAACTGATAGCCTTTCTCTCCTGCATCAATAATTTTTCTTCTTTGTACTGGATTGTTCCTTTTAGTATACCAAAAGGTGAATACACCCATTTTTAAGAAAGAAAGAAAATCCTTGATAGGTTAAGCCATTGTCATTTCTCT